TAGCATGACATTTATTAGGAATAAAGACTTCTGAATTCTGGTGCATTTCTGTGTGCGGGGGTCATTATGTTACCGCTATGCTGTGTCTAGTTAAAAACATGGTATTCTTTGGAGTGCTGGTTATCCCATTTTTTATACTGATACAAAAAATTCTTAAACAATCTGTGTTTAAAAACAAGATTAAGTGAAATTTATTGAGAAAGTATAATTCCACGTAATGTTTGGTAGAAATAGGATGTGGAAGATGTCTAATGTTGTTTTTATTTTTTATATATTCAGATATGGCGACTGTTCGAACTTTAGCTGTTTGTTTGTTTGTAGTTTTTTTTTCTAATGAAGAGGCAGACAAAAGATTTTTTCTTCTTTTCATACTCTTTTCATTCAGTGTTTGATATACATTGTTTGTTAATGTATTTTTGTTAATGTCTTTGTTTCTTTTAATAAATGAAATAAAATAAAATAAATAAATACAACTCTTTGGGTGTCATTAATGGTGAGTAGCACTGTAAATTGTTAGAAAAGCTCCAGTTTCAACCAATTTCACAGTTCGTTACAGATTAGTCTAATTATTTCTTCTGATATGAGTTTATTTGGTTGAATACATTAGTTTAGCTTCTTGTCAGCAAGGTTATATAAAAAAGTGGAGGCAAAACAAACCATGCATGGCTGAAGGAAGAAATTATTTTGAAGCTCATCCGGGGCAAGGGCTTTCATTAAGGCTGTCGGCTAATTTCATTGAATTTCTTATTAATAAAGTTACGGTAATAGAAAACCGAAATTAAGATAATCTGAAGAATAATCAGGGTTTTTACCAGCAGCTTCTCACCTGGAGGAGAGACTTCAGCAGCATCACCTGGATCATCCTGCTGCCTTCAAACCTGGAAAATAAAATAGAAACTGTTGCCTTTTTAACCTCAGTTTTACATTCATTAGGTTGTGCCATTAACAACTGTGACTGTTACCCAGAGTTGGGAGACCCCAGGGCGGGGTAGATACCAGGGACAGGAATTTTGCCCATGATGAACAGCATGACCTCTGACCTCTGGTAGACAGGAAGCGTGTTGGCAAAGGATCCTTCAGCAGCAACAACAGATTAGTCAGAACAATCAACGTGCAAATGTTCACAGACAGAAGATGACGACTGACCGATGGTTCTGATGACTGCATCCTGCAGCATTTTCTCCTCAGTAGATGTGGTTTCCTGTTTCCCAGCATTGTCATAGTAACCAATAAGCTGGTAGTCAACGCTCTGCCTGAGCTGTCGCAGTAACGTGTTGAACACTTCCAGGACTGTGGGCCCTGCAGGATGAAGCACAGCATCAAAGCGACACTCAGTTTACAGATATTTATACTTTAGACATTTACAGTGTCATTATGTGTGATATTCATTCAGAGAATGCGTGTGTTTGTGCTTCTGGCGCACCTACAGATCCTGTTGCTTCTATGACAGCAGCTTCAGAAAGAACCTCAACAATCCCAGCTCGGACTGACGCCGGACTCCTGCTGTTGGCGTCTAGGTGACCCAGCAGCTGCTGGATGACCAGGTGGGAGTGCTGAGACTAATGAAAGGAAGATTTCAGTTTCAGAACAACACACAGTAAGTATAGCTACACGAGCCACAGACTTTAAGGCCCTGTCACACTAGACAACTTATGACACATTTTTATGTCTAAATTGCTAATAAAGGTTGTGCATTTGATCAATTTGTTACAATTACATTATGTACACGCCGAACAGAATCTTCCTGTTGATTTTTTCAATTCCAGCTTCAACATAGACATCAATGTTCATGAGATGTCTAGTGTGACAGGGCCTTTAGGAGCTCAGACAGGCATGATCCTGACCCTTCAGAGCTCACAGGGAAGTCTGGATGGGGACAGAGTGAGCGAGAATGATTTAATTATTACAACCAAAATCAAACCAGTTAAGTATAATCCTTTCTCTCCAAAACCACCACTTCAGGTTTCTGAAGATGTAAAATAAGATGGTTGGGACTAAATCATCAAGGCAGCACAGCAAGGTCCTATATGGGTTTAATCCTCAGGTTGGACCTGGGGCCTTTCTGTGTTGAGTTTGGATGCTCTCCTCGTGTTTGCATGGGTTTCCACTGGGTTCTCCGGTTTCCTCCCACAGTCCAAAACACAATCTCAATGAAATTTTCCTGATTAAATACAGTAGTTCCTCAGTAGTTAAGCTTTTTTTGTGTACCTTATTGTAAAGTGTTACCGAGATGTTTTCCTAATTTGATTGTGTGCTTTACCACAACGAATTTTGAACAAAACATTGCAGATGGAGTTGAAGTTCAGACCCGGCTTTCATTCAGTAATATTTTTCACTCGTTTTGTTCCCGTTTGGAAACACGCGGTATTAAACACACCTGAATTGAAAACATGATGATCTGAAAACATCGAACAGCGAAGCCTCGTCCTTCCCACAGACTGTGGCTGTCCAGGTGCCTGAAAACGTCAACTTTACATGAGTATTTCTACTGTAACGATAAGTACTTTTTCTGTTACTTTGCTGTTATTAAACACTGTTGCTACTAGTAGAACCATTAAATTTTCATTTAATTATTTTCACCAGATGGATCAGAGATTTTGTCATAGTTTAAAAATTTCCAGTTTAAATCCATATTTAGAGTTTTACTGGAGAATTATTCTCTCACATCAGTTTAGGATAACTAGCATAATTTATTCTCTCTTTTTCTTCTATTAAAAAAAAGCCACTAATGATGAAGAAGCTAAGATACTAATATTCTGATATAAAGTTTTGCTTTCTACTGAAGTGGCAGAAAAAAAAGGATAACTAGCATAAAACAGGTCTATAATGTTCGGAGTGAGTTTCTTACATGAGCACAGGTCTGATGGCATTGTTGATGTGACAGTAAGCAGCTCGACCCAGAAGCTCCCTGAAACACATCTCTGTCTGCTCTGCAGGAGAAAGGCTGCACACAGACAGAACAAAATCAACAATTTAACTAATTAATTAATCTACAGATTTAAAATATTCTCAGAAATATTCAAATGTGTGTCAGTTCTCTGATTCGCAAGTGTAACTCTTAACACCTGTTGCTGTCCGAGTGCTGCAGGTTGACCAACAGAGCGGGAACAATCTGCTCCATGTGTCGAGGCTCCCAGATATTGACCTGCAGCTCATCATCCACCGTCTTCCTGACGACACCCTGCAGGCCACGGATCCCCGACACGCGAATCCTAAACAAACACATCAGCAGAAGTACGTTCAACTCAGTATGAACCTTAAATTCCAGACAAAATATTGCAGCTTTATTACAGATACATACAAAATTGTAAATGTCTAGTATTCTTTGAAGAAATGCATTATCACCTTGTTTTAGACTAAAAAAATAATGTTGGGGAATGACTAACAGCTTGGGATCTTTTATATTATATTTCATGTGATCTGTTAGCACTCAGACACTGCTGCACAATTTCAGCTCAATTTCCCAATCAATCTTTGACAAGTTAAAAAAGCTGCAGCAGAAATTTTGAATAGAAAAGTTAAGCAGTTATAAATTCACAGACATTATTAACTTTCTTAGCCTGGCCCTTGCCTTCCTATGGATTTCTCCCATAGACAAGGATTTCTTCGACTGAATATTACCTGAGCCAATCAGCAAACAGAAGGCGGAGTTTTGAACGACAACGTCGATTTTCTGCGCACTTTAGCTATGACAGTGGAAGAAGTGAATGAAGCCAGTCCGTGTTGATAAGGCTTCCAAATTATATTAAATTTGTCTGACAAAGCAGCAGCTCTCATTTACAGTCGTCTGGTTCGGCTCGGTACTTCTCTCCTCTCAGTAGGGTTGTTTACAGCCCACATGATTTCCTGTTAGCTTCTTAGCTTAGCCTCCTTCACAGTGGAGCTGGCTACAAACATCACAGCCAACCGATCCAATCATTTTAAACTTCAACAGAGGCCACGCCTCCAGCAAGAATAGCCAAGAGTCCAGACCCTCGTATGAAGCAAAGCGAAGAACAAGGGCCTGTTTTTAACCAGGCTATAATTTTCTGGGACCTTACTTAAAACCTACAGAAGCCGACAGCAGCCGTTTTTGGCAAGTAATTTTTTTCCCATGGTTTTCTCGAGATAATGACATATATTTTCTGTTATGTCATGATAATGAGTTAACTATGTCATTATCAAGAGATATCGATGAATGTTTTCTTGAGATAACGAGTTAATTTCCAGATGGTTTTCCTCTTGTATATCATTCAGTAACCATGGACTGTCTGTCTGTCTGTCTGTCTGTCTGTCTGTCTGTCTGTCTGTCTGTCTGTCTGTCTGTCTGTCTGTCTGTCTGTCTGTCTGTCTGTCTGTCNGTCTGTCTGTCTGTCTGTCTGTCTGTCTGTCTGTCTGTCTGTCTGTCTGTCTGTCTGTCTGTCTGTCTGTCTGTCTGTCTGTCTGTCTATCTTGGTATTTAAGTTTCAGATCTCTTTTGCAAGGGTAGCCTGGGCCTGAAGGCAACCTATTATCCATGCATCCATCCATCCATCCATCCATCCATCCATCCATCCATCCATCCATCATCGATACCCACTTCTTCCTTTCAGGGTCACGTGGGTCACTGGTGCCCATATCTAGCAGTCACAGTGCGAGGGGCGGGGTACACCCTGGACATGTCGCAAGTCCATCACAGGGACGCACATAGAGACAAACAAGACAAACAACCATTCACTGTCTCCCTCACACCTAGGGACAATTTAGAGTTACCAAATGTAGTGATTAATACACCTACACTTCTTATAACAAACTTTATTATAAGGAAATTCACGGGTTCTTCTGTTTAAGGAAACAAACAACCTCTCTGTGTAAATATGAGAACGCATAAATAAGAATAAACGGCATCATTTATTTATAGAATCAAATTAAATCACTAATGTACAGCTTATTGTGGATAATCATATTTTGTTAAAAGTTTTAACATCAACAACAATCAGTATGCGTCCACACTAACTAATCATCAATATGACAACTCTAACAGAAACAGCAGGACTTCAGGTTTAAGGTCTTAATAAACCAGACGTTTGCAAGTACATTAAACTTAGATGGCAATGCAAAAGTCAAGAAATAGAAGGAAAGGAGGACGTTAGCCCTAACGTTTTATCTTATCAAAATGTGAGAAAACCAGAACAAAGCATCTCTCAGTTGCATCAGACAGACGCCGGTACGCTTATCAAAACATTCAGCTTCTACCAGGAGGTGTCTTCACCATCAGGGTCAAGCGTTTAGGAAGTTTCACTCAGGTCAGCAAGAGATTCTGGTCAGGCTAGCCTTACTTCCAGGACAAACTTCCAGTGTTTTGATTTTTCAGCGTCTCCGGAAATCTGCCTCAGGTCCGGTGAGAGAGTCAAATCCAATTCGGTTCTCTTTTCAAAATAAAAGACTTCTCAATAAAAGTTTTACAAAAATGAATGGAGCATCAAAGCTGGATGTTTTGGTCATGATTAATGGTCCCGACCTGTGGCAAAAGATTTGCTCATTAGCACTTGATGTCAAATCTCATTTCTGAATGCTGATTTTCCTGGAGAGGGACAAACAGCTTCTCCTCGTTGGGACAAAGATGGTGTCTGACTGTTGAGTGGCTTGTCCTGGGTTAGTTTCTACAGAGAAAAATACTAAGGACGCGCCCTCGACTTTTGGGTTAGTCAACAGGTGGATCTGAAGTTGAGTCTAAGAACTTGCCATTGCCATCGGTCTGGTAAACACAGTGGTGAATGTCTGCACATTAACACAAAGAACCAAGGTCAGGTTGTGCTGTTCTCAGTGCTTTGGCAGGACAAATACTAAATGACAAGAACTAGGTTTTAATGAAATAGAAGTGAATCATTTCAACTAAAATAAAACAAGATATTTTTCTAAGATTCAAGCACAAATAACCATAAATATTTCAGAATAAAACATAATGAACTAAATCATAG